AGGTTAGTTTCATTATTTTCTGTTTTGTCTCGGGTAAGGGACAGAGAACAAAACTGAAGCATAAACATGAGCATCAGGAAAGCTACGTACAAAGTTGAATCTGGCTAGGCTAGAGCATTCTTAGAATAAAAGAGGAGTTTGAACACCAAAAATGGGAGGCTGACCTGAGAGCCAAGGAGAGGAAGGCAGAAAAGCAATAGCAAGAAGAAGCATACAAACATTCCATGGAAAATTAGAGATAGCGAAGGAAGCAGCTGCACACCAACAAACGGTGGAGCTGAAAGAGAGAGAAGCCCCAAAAGAGAAGGAAAGGCTAAAGCATAAAGGATGGGCAGGGGCAGATCCCACAGCCCACGGGTACTCTCCCTCTCCAAGGAACACACAGCTGGAACAAGTTGTGCCTTGCATACATAGAAGTAGACTGCATTGAAGAATACTTTACCACTTTTGAAAGGCTATGTGAGGTTCATAAAGTTCTAGAGGACAAGAAATTCCAACTTTGATTACTAAGCTCTCAGGAAGGGGATGAGCAGAGAAATATGAACAATTGTTTGATCTTTCTGCACAGGACCTGTTCCTGAGCATACGTTCTGAAGAAATCAGACATGCTATTTGGGATAAATCTCTGGAACCTGTCCAAAAAACAGCAGTTCTGGCTTATTCCTATATGCAAGCCAGAATGTCCACTGAGTGTAAGCTGAAGAGGGAAGGGACAGAAGCCCAGACTTATAGGGGGTGCGGCATTTTGTCTCTGGGAAGGGAGAGGGTGGCTGAGAGCCTAGGAACTCCCCATTAGGATCTCACATGCAGGCCCCTGTAGAGGAGAATGGTCTAAGAAGATATTTTATGTGCAATTCCACTGAATACTTGAGGAATAATTGTCTTGAGCTGAAAAAAAGCCAAGCCCATGCTCCATCCAACCAGGTTAATGCAGCTGTCCTTAACACAGAATCCCAAGAGGTACCTGCAGGTCACCTGATTATTTTGGGAGGTCTGACCCATTGGAGGTGGACATGGAATTTGTTAAAGCTTAATGCATTCAGAGAAGAGAGACTGGTGCACTAATTTCTTTGGTCAGGGAAAGCATGGTTAGACAATCATACATGCTCCCTGGGGAGAATTCAGAATTTCTAGAACTGAGACAATACAAATTCCCTGTACCTTTGGCTAAAGCACATGTGAGGTGGGAAGATCTGGTGGAAACTTTTGAAAGTTGGTCTACTTGACAGTATTCCAACAGCAATTCTTGTAGGAAATGATATTTTGTCTGTCTAAAATGGTGCAGCAAAAAAGAATGTTGTTCTGTAATCTCAGGAGCGGATAGTGCAGACAAAGAAGCAGCAGTGGGGGAGAGGGGTACAGCCCCAGCTCAGCAGGAGAAAACAATGTGCTTTCAGGTATGGTGGGAGGTCCAGGTCACTCCTGCATAGCAGAGGAGAGTAGTGAGCATACAGATCCGAAAAGGGAGAAGTTGTCCCCTGTAACTGGAGAGGGTATTCTGGTTGTCTGCAGCCAGGGTTTTCCAGTGAGCACAAAGCAAACCCCATGCTAGACAGCATCTGTGGGTACATCCTTAAGGGGACACCAGTGAAGGGAAAAAATGAGGAAGGGAGATTGAGGAAGGAAGCTTTCCTGGGGAAAGATAGAGGCCCTCGGAAACCTTACAAGCAAGTAGTTGTGCCTGCCCAGCACCATGGGGTTTTAATGTTGCTAAGCACATTATTGTCCTTTTGCTCGTCTCTTGCAGGCACATAGAACCAATGAGAGGTTAAAGAAAAAATTTTACTGGCCAGGGATACAGAATGATGTGGGCACCTATTACAGACCTTGTGATTTATGTCCGAAGAGGAGACCTGTAGGACCCCAAAAAGTCCCCTGCCCCCCCTTACCTGTGATACAAGAGGCATTGTATAGGGTAGCAATGGACATTGTGGGCCCAATGCTGCGTCTTACTCAAACAGGAAAAAAACGTACCTTGGTAGTAGTGGATTTTGCCACTAGATACCCCAAAGCAGTTACACTAACTAACCTAGAGGTTGATACTGTGGCATCTCGTTCACTATTTGCAGCATAGTGAAGAGATTTTATCAGATAATCTATCAAATTTCATGTCCCAGCTATTCAGTAAATTATGTGGAGTGAAACAACTAAAGGCTGCCTCAGCTCAGCTAGAGACAAATGGCTTGGTGAGAGGTTCACGGGAACATTGAAAGCAATGTTGGGAACATATGTGAACCTAATACTTTTTCTGAGAGGGTCCAGTGAGAGGGACTGGACCTTGCAGGAAGACGGTTTTGGTATGAATTTAGATCTGGAAGAGTACTAAGGTCAGACGGCAAGGATTATCCAAGTTGGGCAAAGTCAGGGTGAGGCTTGTGGGCTGCTGGCAAGCTTTTGGGGTCACAACTCTGAAAGAAAGCTGCACAGGCATAAGACACCCAGGGTGGCCAGGCATACATTGATTGAACCCTTACTGCAGCGGTGGTCCACCAGGGGTCCACAGAACCCCGTGGTTGAAACTCTGAGCCCCGGCACCCCTCACCGCGGGGCTGAAACCCTGAGCCTCGGTGCCCCTTGCCGCAGGGCTGAAAAGCCGAGCACTAGTTGCAGTGCCAGAGTGGGGAAGTCCTGGGGGCAGCTCCACCCCCTTCCCCTCCCCGCCCCTGAGGCTACACCCCCTGGCCAGGTAGGAGGTGGGAAGCCAGAGTCAGGCAGTGCGGGCAGCTATGGAGCAGGCAGCCACGGCATTCCCCCTTCTGCAGCTGGTGCCTGGGATTGCGGCTGCTCCTCAGCTCTCGCAGTCGGTAAGAGCTGCCCAGGCAGGGGGACCCCACTCTGTGGTTGGCACTGCTCTTGGGGAGCAGTGACCACAGGGGAGCCCTCCTGGCACACAGCCCCTAGCTGTCCCCTCCCTGCATCCTGAGTTACCCTCCTGCCCATACACAGCCCCTAGCTACCCTGTCCCTGCATCCTGAGCTCCCCCCCCCACCTGCACACAGCCCCTAGCTACCCCCTCCTTGTACCCTGAGCAGTTTTCAAACGTTTTGAGCTGAACCCCCCACCACACACAATTCAGACAGGCTGGGTGGCCTGCTGAGGTGAATCAGGGGGTGGAGGTGGTGCTGCCTTCCTGGACCGTGCTGTGCAGAGCTGGCCCAACCCCTAACCTGTCCCCCCAAAATAGAAGTCAAACTACGCCTATGCCCAAGGCCCCCCCCCAGCCTGAAGCCCTGAGTCCCCCCCCCACACCCATTCCCATGCTGGGCCCTGGAGTTTTTATAGCATGTTGAGGGGGGCCTCAGAAAGAAAAAGGTTAAGAACCCCTACCTTATTGGCCTGGGTGAGCCCCAAAACGTCACACCCCATAAGGGACACTGTTTCAGTCAGTACCTGCCATTGAAAGACAGCCCTTTTTAGGGTGTCGGAAGTTGGACATCTCAAGTCATTAGTCACTCTTGGGAAATGTTGGCTATTTTATTGGGAAGGGTGTCATTTAGGTCTTCAGACTTTACCTTGATTACCTGAAATTGTGAAAGAAGATTAAAGCGTGTTTTTTTTTTTCAGTTTATATTGAAAACATTGATCAAGGCAGTTTATGAACTCGGGGGAGGGAAGGGATTCTGAAAACCAATCTAAAAAGGAAATGAAGTAAATGAGTAATTCAAATACTCTTTTCTCCACTAAAATGCAGTAAGAAAATACTAGTAATTGGAGGATGACAGTAGGGCAAATAGTACAAATATTCTTTTCCTTTGCTTATGCAATTTTAATGGGTTGGTTGGTTTGTTTTTATAATTGCAGCAATGCATGGAGCTAGATTCTGAGGATTTTTCTCACTAATTTGAGTATCCTACTCTTAAATTGTTTCTCATTAGTACTCAACTTTCATTTCAAGATTTGCAGGCATCTCATGGAGAATCATTTGAAAAACACTTAAGATGTGTTAATATTTTTATTATTACTACTGGGGATGTTTTTGTGAAAAAAAATCCTTTTCTTTAAAAGACGTTTGTTGCATTTTTCTCACATGAAGTAATAATGTGTCAGTTTAACATCACAGTTAGTTGCTCTGGAAATGATTGAAACCATAAACAAGACTATGACTAAGGAATAATCAGTAGGAACAGATTCTATTTCTTCACAGACCACTAATAATAAATAAGGACCAAGAAAAAGGCCTGAAAAGAAGACATATAAACAAACTTTTATTTTGGAAACAGAATGCTGCTTGACGCCATGCCTCTTCTCCTCTCCCCTCCCTCTGCCCCAATTTTCCATGTGGAATAATTTGCTCTTTTAGATTGATTGATTTTTTTTGTTTGTTTGTTTGTTTTTGGTTAAGCACCCAGTTCCCTTTGATTAATTTCCCTTTGGTGCTTTCCTGGATTAGGTCTTTCAGGTGCAATTTTGAAAAGACTTTTAAGAAGTAACTTTACTTTGATGAGCAGTCACAGTGAAGTCTAATAAAATTAATCACTTTTCAGAATCAGCACCTAAACTAGTTCTTATTTTGGTTTTGATTGCAGTGTATTTGGGAAACACAAGTAAAGTCTTAAGTTATTTTTTATGTTGTTCAATTTGGTAAACTAACAAAATACAGATTCAATAGAGCAATTTCTTAAAATAGCAATTTTGGTATGTGTTTTTTAAATTTGACTCTCAGCAATATTAGTATAAGACAATTCCAAATACGCAGCACTAGAATACTGAAAGTAGACACACAAATTCCTTAATAGATAGCAATACAAAGAAATCTTTTCTCACTTAATTAATGTAAGATTTGTTTCATTTTACTTACTTGGAAGATGCTTATGCTACAGTGATGATGGCTATGTAATTACCTAGATCTATAGCAATAATGGTACTTTTTGTAGACATGGCTATCTTTTTTTTTCTTTTTAGATTCCCAAGCTTTAGGGAGAGCATTTTATAACTACAATCTTTTTCTCATATTTTAAAAAGATTTTCTTACAGAAAACTTTGTGTGTTGTTTTGTGTAGGGTTATTTTGAAAGCTGCAACATACATAGAAACAGGATAGCTGGCTTTGAGGTCAAAGCTTATGCCAACCCTACAGTAGTTCGGTGTGAAATCCATCACGGTCAGACTGGAGGAATCTATGTTCATGAAAAAGGAAGAGGACAATTCATAGAGAATAAAATCTATGCAAACAATTTTGCAGGTGTTTGGATTACCTCAAACAGTGACCCAACAATAAGGTTGGTTTGTTTCTTTAGTGGTTGGGTGTTTAGTTGGTGCTTGTTTGTAGGAATGTTTTAGGGAGAAAGGGAAAATGCGTGCCATATTACTTCCGTTTTTGAATAACATTAACATTCCTACATATATAAAAATGACATGTATGTGTCAGGGTGCAATGGAATTATATTTTTAATTTGCATGCATACAGTACATTTTTAGAAGTATATAGTTTCTTAAAATTCTGCAATCCTGACATTATTCTAGATTTCAAAACCTGGTAAGTTTCACATATATTTGTACATTTTCTATATATGTTTAGATTATATGGTACAGTGTAACTTACTTTCATAGTTTTGTAACGTGTGGTTTTGTTCCTTAGGGGCAATGCAATTTTTAATGGGAATCAAGGTGGAGTTTACATCTTTGGTGATGGGAGAGGCCTTATTGAAGGAAATGACATTTATGGTAAATTTATACATTTACCTTATTGCATCTTGGACTTTTTATATTGTGTGTGCCAAATTTTCCTAAAGTATGACTCCTTTCAATAGGTAATGCATTAGCAGGAATTCAGATTCGAACAAATAGTTGTCCCATTGTTCGACACAACAAGATTCATGATGGCCAACATGGTGGAATTTATGTGGTGAGTACTAACTACATATAGAGTCTAGGCGTGCAAATTCTGCTAGGTAGTATTTTCTGTGGGTGTTATGGAAGTGTAATGCCTTGTATACACACTTAAACTTTAAAGTAAACATTTAAAGTTTCCTTTTCTGTTTTGTTATACTTCGATTGAAGTAGTTTCTTACGTTCTACAGATAGATTCACCTAATTACAATTAATCTTGTTTTAATTTTGGCAAATATAGCTAGAATATTTCTTTTAAATTCAAGACATTGCTCTACAGTGTAATTTTAAAAGAGCTAGCTAGCAAAATAGCAAATTTAAAAAAAAATTTTTTACCTTACATCAGTTTTTGGTAATAATTTGACATCATGTAGACTTAAAATCTAGAAACCTGGAGCATTTCACAGTTATCACTAGACTGGCAAAATTCCTATCTCCCCACCCACAAGCTGGCTGGCATGTGTTACTAAAAGTACGCAGAGAAGTTAGAAGTCAAGACTAGAATTTAAGTCTCTAGCATGTGAAACCAAGGGTTATATAAAATGAACTGAAACTCTCAGACTAGAATTGTATAATTATTTGTCTTACTATCTGACCCTCAGAGTCTAATGTTGCTTTAATTTTAAACACAAATGCACCAGTAAAGATTGTTATATGCCTTAAGGAAGAAACATGATAATTTATATAACTTATTTTATTTTTAATAGACAATGCTGGATGTAAGATTAGAACCTGGTTTCCTAGCACACACAGTTGAGTGCAGAGCTCCACTAGCAAAACCCAGCAGAGATTTCTAAACTTCAGTACAAACCCTTGAAATCTCAAGTAGTAAATCAGATGTAAAACGAGAAATACTTAATCTGTTTTTACACTTAAAATGTTCAGAAATATAAAGTCTCATGAATAGTACAAAATGCTTTTAAAAATGGTAGTAACTTGAGAACTCTGGGAAACTTCTACCATAAGAAAGGACGTCACACCTGGACAAAGCAATTTTTTTTCCCTACAAGAAGAAAAAGGCCATAAAGCCAATATTTGCAAGAGACTACTTTATTTAATCTTCGACTTATCTTGCTTGTATTTAGCATGAAAAAGGACAAGGTGTTATTGAAGAAAATGAAGTTTACAGTAATACTTTGGCTGGAGTCTGGGTGACAACAGGAAGTACTCCAGTATTGAGGAGAAATAGAATACATAGTGGGAAACAGGTGGGTTTTGTTTTGCGTGATAGAAATACTGTTTTCACACTTCTTCCTTACTTCTAATTTAATTATTTTATTTTTAATGTCAGGTTGGTGTTTATTTTTATGACAATGGACATGGAGTGTTAGAGGACAATGACATCTATAATCACATGTACTCAGGGGTTCAAATAAGGTAATATGTGTTTTCATTTTACATATAAAAAGAGATTTTATTGTATTATCCTTATTTCTCTCTTTACTCCTCCTTATCATTCGGTTTCTAAAATTTACCCTGGGGGAGGAGGGTATCCTTTTAAATCTAGTGTTCTTAATTTCAATTCAAGGGGAGGAATTCTTGTCAGGAGAATCTGGATACTGACTTTTATCTCCAGTTTCTTTCTCCGTTGATAATAGTGTGAAGTCTTAAGTCTATTTGTTTCCAAGTAAGCAATCAAGGATTTCTAAAGGCTTACAAGCAATGTCTTTTATATTTTTACATGGGGTCTGATGTGTAAACCTACAGAACGCTGATGTGATTGATGTATTATTTTTTTCCCAATTTTCAGATGTATTTTAAATGTTTAGTTTTAGGAAACCTTTTTTAATAATTCATTTGCTTGTGGTTATCTGTAGAACTGGAAGCAACCCCAAAATTAGGCGCAACAAAATCTGGGGAGGTCAGAATGGTGGTATTCTTGTTTATAATTCTGGTAGGTCTATTCTTTCATTTTTTTCAGACCTTAAGATGCTTTGCAACATGGTTATTAGAAAGACAGTTATGTTGAATTTTTTTTTTATAGGGCTTGGATTTATAGAAGACAATGAAATTTTTGATAATGCAATGGCTGGAGTATGGATTAAGACAGACAGTAATCCTACACTAAGAAGAAATAAAATCCATGATGGAAGAGATGGGGGCATCTGTATATTTAATGGGGGCAGAGGTAGCATTCTTTCCTCATTAGAATACACTAAATATATTGGATTATAACCTAATTTCAGATTAAGATATAGTTCTTTTAAATTGCTCTTTAGAAATTTGATTATTTTTCTTTATGAAGTAGTAAAATATTTATTTAAAATGTACTGATGCTTTTTAGTGTCATCAGTTAAATCTGTAATATTAAACTGTAACAGGCAAAGGAATAATTCACCTCATCCAGGAAGCCTATTCCAGACTGCTTCTATAAGGCTAGACTTCTTCCTTATTACGTGCGATCTACATTTGTAACTTTTTTGCCATTTAACTGAAGGACAAAAGGTCTGATGTAACCATCAAATTGAAGATCTCAGATCTTGGATTTGTGGGGGTTTTGTTTTTGTTTTTAAAAGTATGGTTTTTGTCAATACCAAAGATCTGGAAAGAGCCAGACTTCCCCTACTACCCACTAAAAGGAAAATATCTTATTAAGAAATTAGGTGGGTAGTCCTTCATTGTGGATTATAAACTTTAATTTTAGGTTATGTAGTTTTGAGTTGAGCTGCACTGCAGCGGCAAAGTACCAGTCAAAAAATTATGCTCTCCTTTGAGACTACCAAATGCTGCTGTAGAAAAAAGAACAGAGCACAAAGTCTGACAGATTTGGTTTTCTTAAATATAGAGTAGCCTCTAGGTCAGTGGCTCTCAACCTTTCCAGACTACTGTACCCCTTTCAGGAGTCTTTGTCTTGCGTACCCCAAAGTTTCACCTCATTTAAAAAGCTACTTGCTTACAAAATCAGACATAAAAAATACGAGTGTCATAGCACACTATTACTGAAAAACTGCTTGCTTTCTTATTTTTACCATATAATTATAAAATAAATCAATTGGAATATACTTACATTTCAGAAAAAAGAAGAACAGGAGTACTTGTGGCACCTTAGAGACTAACAAATTTATTAGAGCATAAGCTTTCGTGGACTACAGCCTATGTCTATATGCATCCATCTATATGTCTATATGCATCCAAAGAAGTGGGCTGTAGTCCACGAAAGCTTATGCTCTAATAAATTTGTTAGTCTCTAAGGTGCCACAAGTACTCCTGTTCTTCTTTTTGCGGATACAGACTAACACGGCTGCTACTCTGAAACCTTACATTTCAGAGTATTAGTATATAGAGCCGTATAAACAAGTCATTATATGAAATTGTATTTTGTACTGACTTGGCTACTGCTTTTTATGTAGCCTGTTGTAAAGCTACACAAAAATCTAGATGAGTTGATGTACCCCCAGGGGTACGTGTACACCTGGGTGAGAACCACTAGTCTAGGTGTATTACTTACGAGCTTATTGTGGGTCATAGGTCCCATGTTTTCCCCATTGTACTGAAAATCCTAGTTGTATTAAATATCCTTAGATGCATATAAATTGAGAATAACTTTCAAAGGATGATGTGTATTATCTCCAATATCCTGTTAATCCTTTCATCCTGGGAATACCCATCACTGGCATTGAAACCATTGGTACTATGAGTAAAATATCATACAAATTGCTTATAAAGAGAAACACAATGATGCTTAGCCTTAAATCTGGTGTTTGTTGTTGGTTCTGTTGTAGGTCTCCTTGAAGAGAATGATATTTTTAGGAATGCTCAAGCTGGTGTTCTCATCAGCACCAACAGTCACCCTGTGTTAAGGAAAAATCGAATATTTGATGGCTTTGCTGCAGGTTTGTATTCTTTAAATCATATTTTGAAGGGTTAGAGCTTACAGATTTTAGTTCAGTATTTATAACAGGCAAGAGTCCTTTTCTACAGCTAGGATTATTATTCATTTGAACAGTGTGAGATATTCTATAGTTATATTCTAGAAATCATTTGGGATTTTAGAATTGTGAAAATGCCAGTTTTGCAGCATTCTCTGAGATTGTCAGGAAATAATGCAGTTTCTATCTCATCACATAGCAGACTTTCTAGTAACTGTTCACAATTTTCTTTTGAAAGTCAATCAGGATGTAAATGTTACTGACTTGGTGAGAGTTGACTTGAATTTTCTATCACTAATCCTGTTTTAGAGCAAGGACAATTTTAGCAACATACTTCTGAGATTCTGGAATCACTTTGCGTGGAAGGCATCAAAAGTATTGAAATCTGTATTTTTTTATGGAATCAGTTGAATAGGAATACTAAGTCTTATTGTAATAATGGTGACTTTCATACACTGCTGCTTGTTAGAAATTGTGCTATAATAGTTCTTTAATCCTAATCAATTGAAATTGCATGCTTGAGTTTTCTCCATTTGTCTTTCAGAAAAAGCAAGCTTCTGTGAAGACCTTTAAAAGGTCTTGCTTCTGTGTACTGCTGGGGAGCTGCCAAAATGAGTTCTGGCCAAGTGACCTGAAAGAGTTTGATTTCTGAAAATCTTGGGCTTAATCAACAGACTTTTTGGGTGCCCAACTTGATATCTTTTCAGATAGTGTATAGTTCCTGAAAACCAGGTCAAGATGGGCACCTAAAAACATAACATCACTTTTGAAAATCTTGGCCAGTTGTACTGTTCTGTTATCTGAGAAACTAGTGGTTTGATTATTAGTTGCTAATTGGAAAACATGAAATTGGCTTTACCTCTATGAAGAGATGCAGTGGGAATGTTTGGACTTTAGCTCGGTCAGTCACAGCACAATTTCTAGATATTAGTAATTTTGCCAATGACTGTCTGACAGATAGTAGGAAATACTAAGTGCTTTAACTGTAAATCTGGCTGCTGAAAAAGGTATAAAATGCACACTAAAGCTTTGATTCTCTACCTCACCTCCCCCAAATACAGGTATTGAAATAACAAATCATGCAACTGCAACATTAGAAGGCAATCAGATTTTCAACAACCGTTTTGGAGGCTTATTTCTGGCATCTGGTGTCAATGTAACAATGAAAGGTGTGTGGATTTTATATTGCATATTTGTTTACATATGACATTTCTTAAAGATGAATGGCATGCTGGAGACTTCAGTATTGTAGAATTTGTCATATCCCAGTGTCTCATTTTTGGCAGTATTACACTTTAAATTGCCCTGAACCTAAAAACTTCATCTAAAAGAAATAAGTTGAGCTTTGTTCAGAGTTAAACCAATAGCTGGAACACCTTTAAAGCACTGCAGATTCCAAGGGAATAAAATGAAAACTACTGTTTGTATCTAAATTTTCCCTGGCAGACTATAGCCTTTTCCATTGACAACTTCATCGGTTAATCCAGGGTTGGCCAACCTGAGCCTGAGAAGGAGCCAGAATTTACCAATGTATATTGCCGAAGAGCCACAGTACTACGTCAGCAGCCCCCCATCAGCTCGGCCCCTCCCCCCCTGCTCCCAGCACCTCCCACCCACTGGCAGCCCCTGTGATCAGCACCTCCTGTCAACTGTTTCATGGCGTGCAGGAGGCTCTGGGGAGGGGGGAGGAGTGAGGGCACAGCAGGCTCAAGGGAGGGGGTAGGGCCTGTCACAGAGCCAGAGGTTAAGCAGTGAGCACCCCCACCACCACCCCGGCACATTGGAAAGTTGGCACCAGTAGCTCCAGCCCTGGAATCAGTGCCTATACAAGGAGCCACATATTAACTTCTAAAGAGCCACAGGTTTGGCCACCCCTGAGTTAATCCTTCTTCAGACTGTTTTGATATTGGTTAATTCTTTCTGGTTGGGAATTTGAAAGACCATACTAAATTCCTGTAATCAGAACTCCTTGCTACATGAGTGAAAACAAGTAGCCAGTATGGTTCAGAAACTTACTTTAACAGACTTGTAAAGTAAGTAGCTATGAACCAAACACTAGTGAGGCACCACTTTGCAAGTGGATTATAAAGCTAGTTGTGAGACAGCAGACTTGGGTACCAAGATTCTTAGGGTCTGTGCTTGGTTCTAAAGGAAAGTATGGCCTACTGCTAAGAACAATGGGTATAGATGGACTGAGTGGATGAGACCTGTGTTCTATTCCCAGCTCTGCTGGAAGTAACCTTTTACAACTTGTTACCTTATTTGAAAAATTAGGGGAAATAGTCTGCTTCCTAGAATATAGGTGTGAAACCTTGGTCAATAAGGGCTGTGGGTACTACTGAAAGAAGTAAGACTAGAGCTGCTTGGTGTTTTTCTCTGTCTCACTTTCAATGAGGATTTCAGTTCTGCTGTGCATTCCCTGAGGTATGCAGAAGCAGCCTTATCAATTGGCCTACTAATCTGACAGCAACCCTGACCTGGAATCTAGAAGGGATGGCTTAGTTGTTTACCTATCAGGAATACTTAAACTCTGGAACTATAGCCTAAAATTCTGACATGGAGAACTCAACCTGTTCCTGTAGTTCCATTACTCACAGGGAATTCTGTGCATAATTAACGAGCTGCACATATTTTTAATTTTTTGTGCAGAAAAAACTTTCTGCAAGAAAGTTGCTGTAGTTCCGCCTTTTGCCTATCAGAGGGTGCTATGGCACTAGAACAGAGCAGCAGCTCCTGGCCAGCTAGGAAAGAGAAAGTGTCTGCCTTCTTCACAGCGCCTGTCGGGCCAGGGTGGGAGACAGACAGCATGGGGCTGCTGGGGGGGGTCAGACAGGGGCTAGTGAGGGAGGACAGACTGGGGTAGGGGCTGAATGGGTGTGGAGGTGCAGGGCCACATGGGGGCTGAGTGGGGCCACAGAGATGCATAGGGACAGGAGGGCCAAAAGAACACATGGGGATGCAGGGACACCTGGAGACAGGGGCAGATGTATCTGTCTGAATGGGAGAGGCTAGGGATCAGCCAGGGTATGCATGGGGGGAGAGCTCCCTAACAATCCCTCTCTGCCCCCCAAAAACCTTGTTCTGTACTCCCTCCCCCCCCCCCCCAAAAAATTCTCACCCAGGCTCCTTCCCAGCAATTACTTGCCTCTCCCTCAGCTCCTCCGTTACCCTGACTCCCCCAAACCTTTGCACTGCTTCTGAGGGGGTGCAGGAAATACGGTTCTGTATTGTAATTTAAATAAATTATTACTCAAAGTTCTGTATTAATATGTCTAGTTAAGGAATCTATTTGTCAAAAAACATTTCCTTAATCTTTTTTGTTGTCTGTACTGTTAGACATACTTGCCAACAGGTATTTTGAAATAAATGTAATTGAAACTGGTGTGATTATATTATTTTGACAAATGCAGAATTTGAAAATACCGTGTGCACAAGAATTCCCCCAGGAGTATTCCATGGGGGATGAGGCAGGTGAGACCTAAAAGGAATGTTCTAATTATCTGATAGTTTATCCTTTTATTACAGATAACAAAATAATGAACAATCAAGATGCCATAGAAAAGGCTGTCAGTAGAGGCCAGTGTCTATATAAGATATCAAGTTACACCAGCTACCCCATGCATGACTTCTACAGGTAACAAATTTATAAACAGTTGTAGGTCATGAAAGGTAAGAAAAAATAGTAATCTCCCTCACCTAGCATCCCTCTAGCATATAAGTGATTAAATAGAAAGCTGTGTAGTGTAAATGATGAACCAACTTAGATCTATTTTCTAGAGTCTGCAAGTTAAGTACTCAGATGTAATATAAAAATGATTGATTTTTTATTAAGAACATTACTTCTACAAGGAGGTTGGTATTTTTATGTGCGTAACATTGCCAATTACAGATGTGCCTGTTAGCACCTGTCCATTTTCAAATCATGCCTAATGTGCTCCATTTTACTTTAGATGTCACACTTGTAACACCACAGATCGTAATGCCATATGTGTGAACTGCATTAAGAAGTGCCATCAAGGACATGATGTAGAATTTATTAGACACGATAGGTATGTTAACAAGAATGAATACTTTGGCTGAGCAGTTTTACCATTCAGACTTAAAGCAAGTTTAATTCTCCTACTGAAGATAATTTTTTTCTTCTAGGTTTTTCTGTGACTGTGGTGCTGGAACACTGTCTAATCCCTGTACGCTAGCTGGAGAGCCTACCCATGATACAGATACACTATATGACTCTGCTCCACCTATAGAATCTAATACATTGCAGCACAACTAAATTCCTTTCAGAAAAAAAAGTCCTGCCATTCTAATATCATAACTGTTAAACTTTTTTTTGGTAGGAAATTATACTTGCCCATTTCTGCAGAAAGAGACTGTATTAAAAATGGATGTGTAAGGTGTTGACACTATGGAGCTCAACCTACCAAAAAGAAAGTGGCAATATGTTGACTCAGGATAACAGAACTGGGCGTTTTAGCATTACTGTGTAAACAAAGACTCTTGAAGGGACAGAAGTGAAGAAAATAAGCTGCAATTTTGTACAGATACCAACTTCTGAAAAGCTGGTGTTTTTACAAGTAGCATTGAAATGCAGTCAAATTTGCAGTAGTACTATTCTGTAGACAAGCAGCATTCTTTGTTGCTGCTGTTATGGACATGGGTACCAATTGCTTTTGTAACATGGTAAAATGTGAGCTAGCACTTCTGCATTTCTTTTGATTTTTTTTTTAACATTTACTCAGATTGAAAAATATGATTTTAAATGCTTTACTCATGTAGTTTGTTTTTAATTTCAAGCAAAAAAATCTTATTGTACTTGAATGTGTCCTGTTTTGTTAGCACACCTAGACTTGCTGTAACTGTACTCATGTCCCAGTATGTACGTTCTTTCTATGAAAGAGAAAACACTAATCTTAAATTATATCCAGCAATTTTTCTGGTATCCTTTGAAAAAGTTAAAATAATCTCCTTCCCTGCCCCAGCAACAGTCTGTCCTCAAATCACCCTAACAAAAAGCAAGTGTTTTAATGAGACTTCCTATCATAAATAATGCACTATAAAACAAAGTACTCATGTAACTAAGTTTTGTGAATGAAAGTTTTACTATGTTTTAAAGTACACATTAGAAAGTCTCCTCAGAACAAGCTTGTATTTTATTCTGTTCATAGTTTTTTTTTGAACAGTCTGGACATTACCTATATCAACAGTGGGAAATCACAGCAATTTCCTGCTATAATGAAGCTGAGACAAGTATATATACAGCTCAATACAGTTTCATAGCTTTTTTCCATTTATGTGTATTGGTGACAGTGGGTAATCAACAGCCTGAAAGTGTATGCATGTACCATAACATCTAGACTTAATATATTGTGGAGTATTCAATAACCATTATGTAGAGGGTAGGTAAGAATTAAAAGGGTTTAATTTCCTAGGAAAGAAAATGGAAAAATGGTCATTTTTAAAAAATAAAGTTTATTAGATCATCATGTTGTCTGCATACCATCTTTGCGAGAAAACCACCACTCTAACACTTGTTACTGTATCTTACAGATTATTGATTACAGTCATCAGTTTAGGAACAGCTTTATCTCCTGCCGCATTCTCAGCCACCAGGCAAAGGTGCCTAAAGGGGGGGGAAAAATTAGTCCACATTGCTAAGTAACATTTATGTTTAGTAAAAGAGATCTAGTAAGTTCTTCACTAAGTAATATGTTTTCTAGGTAAATCAGTCTCCACCTTTTTAAGGATGGATCATGAGTTTTTCTGGCAGGCAATTAATCAAAATAAGGGGCTAACCCTCCTTTGCCTTCAGTTTTACCACTTAATTTAATTAGTCTATTTTTGAAGAAGTGGTTTTTTAATGTCTAAGGATGTATTTTATTACTCTTTTATTCAGATACTTGATAGGTTTCATATGAATTTTTAAAGGATAGTCTTATGATTTTAAACATATTACTGTTTCTCTGAAGTCATGTAGCACCTAACATCTAGCCAAGGCATACTTCTAAAAATAACATAGGTGAACCTTGAGAAAATGTCTGGCTCCCCCTAGGAGCCAAGAGGAAAACTTCCCCTCACCCCCGCCCCTCCTTCTGTTGTGCTCTAGCATAGCCACTTAATCCCTCTCTACATAGCACAGCACCTGAGTTTTTGGGTTTTTTTTTTTAAATTAAATAAATTCAGGAAATAACTTACCTAAACAGTCTCAGTGAGAGTGTAACTTTCTCAAAGTCTTGTGCTTTTCTGTGACCTTTCTGAATAACTTCCTCTGGAATATTAGCAAGCCTTGCTGCATTGAAACCATAGCTTTTAGGACAAGCTCCTCTAATGAATTTATAGAGGAATGTAATAGTTTCCTGGCTTGGATCTTCACTCTCATTTTCAACCATACATGCCTTAAAAAAAAAGTCATAAAAGCAGTTTATCCAATACTTTTAGATTAGTGTACATAGACATTTCCTTCTTTCAGGACACCCTTTTTGATTACAGGTAGAAAACTGAGGCTCTAGGCACATTGTGGAACATGGCCTACCAATAAAAACCCCACTTCCCAAAGTGATGCAAATACCTTTCCTTGAAGTTCAACAGTTTATACATACCATATGGCCCAGTCGCACAGCAGCACTGTGTGAATAGTCCTCTACTAATGAATAATAGTGTGTGGAAAAAAGCGTGCGACACTTTATATTTTCTGCAAGTTCTTTAACAACTGCACTTGCTATAGCTGTACCATCAAAAGTAGCTGTGCCTCTTCCTGCAAGAGAAGAAGAAAATCCTTCACACATCCAAAGTGGAACGAACTAACTTGCGTTTCTAGACACTAAGTAAAATCTGAGTTCAACCCAGCATTTAAAGAGATAACTTAAGCCAAATTCAAGTTATTATACATGTTATTGAAATAGAGCCCCCTAAATTACTAACAGCTTGTCTACTCAGGGAAGTTAGTGCAAAACAACTACAGTGGAATTTATAGCACAACCTCTCTTGGAAGCTTATTCTAGAATTTATCTATCCTTATACTTAAGTTAGATTTTTAGAAAGATTTTTCTAAATATCTCTCTTGCTGCAGAATAAGCCCACTACTACTTGTCCTACCTTCAGTGGACATGTAGAACAATTGATCACTGTCCTCTTAACAGAGCTGAAGACTTATCAGGTCCCTCAGTCCTCTTTTCTCAAGACTAAGCAAGCTGAGTTTTCCTAACCTTCTTTCATAGGCCAAGTTTTCTAAACTTTTCATCATTTTTGTTTTCTCTTCTGGACTCCAGCTGAAGCCTCACCAGTATGGTGTACAGTGGGAGAATTACCTCACGTCTTCAATATAAACACTCCTATTAATTAACTCCAGAATATTAGACTTTTTTCCCATTGTATCCCACTGTTGACTCATTCAGTTTGTGATCCACTATAACCCCAAAATCCTTTTCAGCTGTACTATCACATAGCCAGTTATTTCCCATTTTGTAATTGGACATTTGAGTTTTCCTTCCTAAGAGTAGTGCTTTGCACATGTCTTTAATGAATTTTACCTTGTTGATTTCATACCAATTCTCTAAATTGTCAAAGTCAATTAACTCTGTCATCCAAAGTGCTAGCAACCCTTCCCAACTTGGTGTCATCTGCAAATTTCATAAGCATACTCTTCTCTCAAAAGTCATTAATGAAAATACTGAATTAATACTCAACCCAGGACTGACCCCTGTGGGTCTTCACTAGATACATCTTCCCAGTTTGACAGCAAACCATTAACAACACTGAGTACAGCCTTTCAACCAAAAGTGTAGCCTCTATGATAATTCAATCTAGTCACATTTCCCTAGTGTTCTTACTACAATCAAGATATATCATGTCTACAACTTCCCCACCTGTAATGCTGTCTAAGGAAATTAGATTGGTTTGGCATGCTTTGTTCTTGACAAATCCATGCTTGCTATTTCTTATAACCTATTATCCTCTAGGTGCTGACAAATTATTTTATAATGAGTTCCAGTAGCTTTCCAGATATCAAAGTTAGTCTGACTGGTCTATAATTTCCCAGGTTCTCTTTGTTCCCTTTTTTAAAGATTTTTGCCCTTTTCCAGTCTCTGGGACCTCATTTGTCCTCCAGGAGTTCTTAAAGAAAAGTGCTAAGGGTTCCAAGATTGCTTCAGCTAGTTCCTCCAAGTATCACCTATGATGAATATCACCAGGCTCTCCTGACTTGAATACATCTAATTTATCTAAATACTCTAACCTGTTCTTTATATATTTTGGCTTGTGTTTCTTCCCCACTGTTAATACTAATTGTGTTGAATATGTGGTCACCATTAACCTTTTTCATGAAGACAAACAAAATAGACTTAAACAAATCGGTCTTTATGTCAACAGTTATTAACTCTTCCTCTCTAAGGAGAGGACCTAAGTTTTCCTTCATCTTTCTCTTACTCCTGATGTATTTATTACCATCTCAGATTTGCAACTAATTCTTCCCTTGCTGGTCAGAATCAAGTCTAAAATGGCTATTTCCCCCCCCCCCCCCAATTATTTCCTCCACTTTCTGGAACAAAATGTCCCCAATAAGTTCTTGAAATGTGTGTGCTGCTATATTAATTTTGCAACAGACGTAGTTAAAGTCCCCCATAAATATCCAAAACACAAGACTCGGCTATTTGTTCTAGAAATGCCTCTTCCTCCTAGTCTTGATTTGGTAGTCTACAGTAGACCTCTCCCATGATATCTTCTTTTTTTTTTTTAAACACCCAGTCAGACTTTTAACTAGTCTATTCTCACCTCCTTCTGGACCTCAAAACAAGTGATACGTATTCTTGATAAATAATGCAACACCACCTCTCTTTTTTTCCCATCTGGATTCCTGAACAAGCTATGCCCCTCTATACCAATATTCCAGTCATGAGATTTATCCACAAACTCTGATGTCAACTAAGTCATAATTTAGCTTATGTACTAATACTTCCAGTTTTCCCTGTTTATTCCCCATACTTATTAAAAGAGCCTGAATACCTAGTTCATCCACAAGCACAAGGGAATGCTCTGTTGCATGCCGGAGTATGCTGGAAGTCTCACTCAGCTCAACAAAAAAGGTACTCTCTCCTAAAAAGGACAAAAACAAAGCTTCATTCAAAGCATATAGAAGTTTTGCAAAGGCAGGCATGTACAGCATACAATTCAACAATACAACATTTATTAGCAGCTAGTTTAGTCTGTGACCAGAGATTTAGCAAGAGAATCTCACTAGGAAAAAGCTGAGCTTAAAAAAAAAAAAGAGACATTCAGACTATCAGGTAGGGGAAAAAGCATAACTGAGTGAAAACTGGCAATACTAAAAAAACAACTCTGTTTGTACACTAGTCTTAATGTAAAAAAGCAAGCAGGAAAAAAATGAAGTTCTTTCTCTGGTAGAAGAATAACTGGTGAAATGGTGACAAGAACCAATGAACGTTGAGAAAATGATGGGGAAGGGGATATTAGACTGTTAAATGTTGTTACAAACACCTATTTAACTCTATTTACTAACATTTTTGGAAAATAACGCCTTTGGCCTAGTCTTCACTTACCGGCTGGTCCGGCGGCACGCCATCGATGTTCTGGGATCAATTTATCGCGTCTGGTTAAGACGCGATAAATCGATCCCGGATCGATCCCGGAAGTGCTCACAGTCGGCGCCGGTACTCCAGCTCGCCGAGAGGAGTACGCGGCGTCGACGGGGGGAGACTTCCGGCCGCGTCTGGACCGCGGTAAGTTCGGACTAAGGTACTTCGAATTCAGCTACGTTATTAATGTAGCTGAATTTGCGTACCTTAGTCCGAAGTCCGGACTAAGTGGGGACCAGGCCTCAGTTACAGATTTCAATTTAAGACAAAATTCAAACGTCCCGGAGATTCTCCAACGAAGTAAGAGAAAACTAGGCTTGAAATTTCTGCTATTTCTACAAACACAATACAAGCAGAAGTAACATATTTCAGATCTTTACATATCACAAAATTCTCAATGGGACTCACCCGAGTAGAATTCTGAACTGACAAAACACAAAGTTCCATACATGCAAGACAGCAGACTTTGCAGCAGCTATTTTTAAATGGTCAAATTAAACCAGATATGAACTTAACTTTCTCCAGCTGGGGGGAAATCCCATAGATTTATTTAATTTAACCAGTAACTCTTCTCAGGTTTCAATAAAACTTTGACAAGGAGGAAGTTTTTGGAGACAGAGCAGAATTATCCTGAGGAATTTTGAACACTTGCTGCTTCTTTCAAGTAACTCTTCAGTCCTGCTATCAATTCTCCTTCCACTGACTGCCATAAAGCTGTTCTCTCTCCTCCCACTGATATGTTTAAATGATGCTGATGTTGACAGTCATATTTCCAAAATGAGCTCTCATGCAGTATTCAATATTGCTCCTCAGATGACTACTGTATGCATTAATTCCATGTGTGTATGTGGTATTCTAAGATGTGTGGCCGATTAAGGAGAAACCAGTGTTAC